TCAACCTATAGACATTTTGTGTAAAGCTGCAATCAATGTTCTTTGTTAAGATATGAGGTGACCGACAGCAACATTTCGCCAACTCGACATCACTTACCGTTGTCGAGCTGATGTAATATTCAGGAAATCCCTGTAATGTTGTCAGGTTTTATAAGATCTAATGTATAAAGGCGTGTTTTATTGTGGAGCATGCTTGGGCATGTCTCATCAGATTTCCTTTATGAAGCTGCGCGTGGCAACCCTGCAGTCATCCGAGAGATTCGAGGAAAGCAGCAGACCCACGAATGCGAATATCAGCGGCCTTCGACAATGCCTGTAAGTGCGTTTGCTCAACTAGACAGCGATTCTCGCATTTGACAGTTGTTAATATAAAACTTGTTGGATGTTTTAACCGTGCGATAAACATGGGAAAGTTTGTGATTTCACGTGGTGCTGCGCAGGGTTCAGATAGGGCCTAATGTTTCACTTACACGAGTAATATTTAAACTTGTGCATTGCACCGAGTAAAATTATATGTTGGATAAGATTGATGTTTTATCTGTGTTTTTAAAACTAAGGTATTATAGTTTCCAGACTGACAAATTGATGAGAGCGATCAATATGGCTGTTGAGCAATGTTTTTGTGTGCAAAGAAGCATGGTGTCAGTCGGTAATGTTATTGCTGTAGTGTTTTTGTTACATAAATATAATCTAATGATGCCTAGATTGTAGATTTTGTTATTAAGAGTGTAAAATGACTGTCATATTGTTGGAGTAAGTATATAGTAACATTTATGGGGGGTGCGTGTGAGAGAGAAAAACTAACTTTTATGTAATTTAAAAAAATATTTGATTTAGTTATATTTATATATAATATTTACATTACACACATTTAAAATATTTACTTAATGTAATTTTAAGTAAATATTTAAATTCTAAATATTAAAAATATTGAAAATGTATCCGTACATATTTTGTTCACATATCTTCTTTAGCGAGGCAGTGGGTCGTCTTGGAGATGTGTTTGGGGTCGTTATCATGTTGGAATACTAACCAGTCTCCGAAGAAAGGGGATGATGCTCTGCTTCAGTATGTCACAATACATGTTGGCATTCATGGTTCCCTCAATGAACTGTAGCTCCCCAGTGCCGGCAGCACTCATGCAGCCCCAGACCATGACACTCCCACCACCATGCTTGACTGTAGGCAAGACACTCTTGTCTTTGACCTGTCCTGTTAAACCGCTGTATGGTCTTGGCCACCGTGCTGCAGCTTAGTTTCAGGGTGTTGGCAATCTTCTTATAGCCTACGCCATCTTTATGTAGAGCAACAATTCTTTTTTTCAGATCCTCAGAGAGTTCTTTGCCATGAGGTGCCATGTTGTACTTCCAGTGACCAGTATGAGAGAGTGAGAGCGATAATACCAAATTTAACACACCTGCTCCCCATTCACACCTGAGACCTTGTAACACTAATGAGTCACATGACACCGGGGAGAGAAAATGGCTAATTGGGCCCAATTTGGACATTTTCACTTAGGGGTGTACTCACTTTTGTGGCCAGCGGTTTAGACATTAATGGCTGTGTGTTGAGTTATTTTGAGGGGACAGCAAATTTACACAGTTATACAAGCTGTACACTCACTGCTTTACATTGTAGCAAAGTGTCATTTCTCCAGTGTTGTCACATGAAAAGATATATTACAATATTTACAAAAATGTGAGGGGTGTACTCACTTCTGTGAGATACGGTATATAATAGCAATGAGGCAATAATAGTTAGTTCAAATAAACTATCAAAAGCAAGTAATCATATGGCTTTATTGAACAAAACTGGTAAAATACATAATGTATTATAAACAATAGAACATTACACATTATAACAAATGCCTGTAGAGGCGCCAACGCCCTGACGATTGTTTTTACACTTTACAGCGTGATCATCTAATCCTTGTTTAATATTGACTAAACAACATTTAATTCAAATGTCCACTTAATCTTTAATATTTGGCCATTTCTTTACGATGGAAATGCTACAGCCACTTTAATTTCTTGAGTATGTGGACATCAAAACGGTAACTCGACATGGGCAAAATCCAATCGATTATTTTATTCAAATCGAGTACTCAAATTGAATCGAGGATTCGTGGCAGCCCTAATTTTAACTATATTTTCAACAGCTGGCCAAAGATCTGCTGAACCCGTCCTTTGACTTTGAGAGAAGACGGCATAAGAAGAAAAGGCTTGTGCAGAGTCCCAACTCATACTTCATGGATGTAAAATGCCCAGGTTTGAGATATTTAGAAGAAAGCTTTGTTTGCCTTATGTGTAATATATCACTTGTAGGAAGTGTAATCTTTACTTCTTATCTCCATGCAGGTTGTTATAAGATCACGACCGTGTTCAGTCATGCGCAGACGGTTGTGCTGTGTGTTGGGTGTTCAACAGTGCTCTGCCAGCCCACAGGAGGAAAAGCAAGGCTGACTGAGGGTGTGTATTTGCTGAATGATTGTAAAACATATCCAGGCTGTCTGGGTTGTGCTTTTGAATCAGAAGTAACTACAAATCACAATATTTGATCCAGTATCTCAAGCTACGCATTTTCTTTTTTCAAATAGGTTGTTCTTTCAGAAGAAAGCAGCACTGAGAAGGATGAAAAAGGAGTGATGCTTTGAATACAAAGAATTGTGCAACTTCTTAATGCCTTACTTTTTCATTGATTACAATGAATGAACTTTAAATGTGATTATGAATGGTGCATGGCAGGTTCTTTCTACCATGCTATCAGTTCAGTACTTCTGAATAAAGTTTCTTCTGCATGATACAGTTGCATCTTGCAATTTAATCCAAACAAACAATATGCAAAACAGTCAGTGCAACATTTTCAGTTTCATTTCTCTTCTCATGCAATATTATTCAGCACCTTGACGTCATGTTATGTAATTTTTAACATCTATCTTTTATTGTTGAAACCTTTTACATGTATACACTACCGTTCCAGTTTGTGGAAGGTATGATTTTCAGTCTTTTTTTTTAAATCACTTATGCTCACGAAGTCTGTGTTTATTTGATGAAAAATATCGATATAATGTGAAATATTATGATTATTTAAAAGAACTTTTTTTTTTCTATTTTATTTTGTTTTATAATGTAATTGATTCCTGTGATTGTAGAGCTGAATTTTCAGCATCATTACTCCAGTCTTCAGTTTCACACGATCATTCTAATATGTTGATTTGAGTTTCTTATTATTATAAATATCGAAAACGGTTGTGCTGCTTAATATTGTTGTGGAAACCTTTTTTTTTTTTTTTTTCAGGATTCTTTTATGAATAGAAAATTCAAAAGAACAGCATTTATTTGAAGTGGATTTTTCCATTCTAAATATCTTTACTATCACTTTTGGTCAATTTGATGTATCCTTGTTGATGAAATGTATTGATTTCTTGAAAAAATAAATAACTAATAATCTTACTGACCCCAGACTTTAAATTGGATGTGAGGGTTTTATACAATATAAAATTAGCTAGAACACTATAAACTGTAAATGTTTTACATTGAAAATATATTTTTTAATTGCTTTCATTCAGTTGCAGTTATGTGAAGGAGGGATTGTAATGAAATGTTTTATTTGTGAAAAATAAAACCCATTTGAAGGAAGGAAACAACATGTTAAATGTATGGTGTGTCACATTCTTAGAAAATGAACAAATATAGATTTTCAACTGGCAAAAAAATTACAGCACCCTACTCTTGACCAAAGCACATCGACAGATTAACATACAAAAGTGAACACATTCAAACATAGGGAATAATTTACATGCAAATTTAAGTTACTAAATTTCATTTGTAAATGAATGACATTTTTATCCAAAATAGTTGCTTTAATTAAATATCTGTTAATATTAATTTATGGTGGTAATTGCCAAAAAAACTCCTGGCTCCTCATCAGATACTTCAGAAAGAAGAATTCCAACGGTGGCAAGAAAATGGTCCGTTTCATAAGGCTTGGTAAGGAAATTCTTGCTGTACGTATTGCTCGGCAAGAACTAAATTTAACCGGCCTAATATTCAGTGTATATTTGCAGTCACACAAGTATTGCACCAATGTTTCTTATACATGATATTTACTGAGTCTGGCACTGGACGCCACCATGCCTGGGGCCTTCGTCTTCATCGTAGGCTTCACCACTGAAGTTTCTCTTTTGTCTTTCATTGTCTCCTTCACACAGGTCAACCTCTTCCATATCATCTGACATCATGACGTGATCTCTGACTGGAAGTAACCTCTCCAGGTCAGGCAGCATGTGCTCAGGTAGCCAGTGTTTATCTGGGAACTCAATCTGAGGGAATAGAAAGGCTTCAGTAAGATGTGACCGTCCCAACACAAATTACAATTTAATCATTGTTTGCTTTCACACAAGTTTTTCCTCTATTATTGTTTTTGTTTTGTTTTTTACACATTTATTTTTTTCCATGTGAAAATTTTTATTCATTTATTTGACAGTAGGAAATTCGTTTTGTTTTTTTTTTACGTAGAAGTTGCAAAGCAAAATACTATAAAATATCAATAAGAAATTAAATAATAATTAAAAACAATCATCACACATAAGATTAAATTATATTAAATTACTTTCATTTGCATTTAATTAGTTTTTATTAGTAACTTGTTTTTCTTTTAGCAGTAGGCAATTTGTTTTGTTCCTAGAAGATGCTAATCAAAATCAAAATAAAATAATAAAAAGAAATATCATAATAATCATATATTTATTTATTTTCAGTATTTAAATTTATATTAAATTAATTTGTCTAATTAAGTTTATACTGAATTAATTTGGTTTTTGTTCTTAGAAGATGCAAAGCAAAACTTAAATACAAATAGTATTAAAAGAAAAATAATAAAATATATTAGTAATATAATAGTAAGATTTTTAATTATCAAATCAGATTAAAAATGTATTTGTCTTTTTTTATTTTCAATGATTTTAATTTATTACTTGGCAGTAGGCCATCTATTTATTGTTTGTTTCTAGAAGATGTGAAGCAGCATCAAATAAAATAAACCATAATGTAATAAAAATATTAAAACATGATAGTAATATAATCAGATCACATCAGATTAGTCTCACTAAAATGTATAACACGCGGTACTGACTTACCTCAAACTGTATGATGAGAAGACCTTTCTCATAAGGGTCTCTATACACAGGCATTCCCTCATTATGAATACATTTTAGATCTTTAGGTTTTATTACTTTGCCTAAAACAAAAAAAAAACAAAAAAATTCGAATGAATCGAAATGTATTTATTGAATAATTTAAATATTTCATTGATTAAATATTGATTGAAATATCATTCATGCAAACTCAAATATTATTCACAAATAAATAGTATATAGGACATACCTGGAGGTGAGTGGATAAGCAACAATCGGTTATCTAGCGTACAAATTGTTTTTTTAAACCCACAGAGCGCTTCCACCAGCTTGATCTTCATCTTCATGATCAGGTTGTCATTTTTTCTTTGGAAGACGGGGTGTTCTTTCAAGTCCAGTACGATTAGAACATCACCAGGCTCCAGTCCAGGCTCTTGATCTCCTTCTCCATGGAATGTGATCTTCTGGCCGTCCTTCATACCTATGACAAAGACCATTATTAGTATGTTTCTAGAATACTTTATAAGAATATAGAAGGTAGTAAGGCCTGGAATGAAGCAAAGTTCATGTTCTTCTACCTTTGTCAATATGGACTTCAAGAATCTTCTTCTTGCGTTCTACTTTGTGTCCATTGCAGTTCTTGCAACGGTCCTTGGAGTTGAACCTCTCTCCCTGTCCTTGGCAGTCAGAGCACATGCTTTGAATCTGCTGGATCATTCCCGGTCCAATCTGTTGCACCTGGACCTGAACCCCTCTTCCTTTGCATGTTGAGCATTTTTCAATTGTGCCTTTTTTGCCTCCATAACCTGCAAGACAGATCATTTACATCTTAAATCACCACTGGGTCTTGAACTACAATATTATTATAACAATTTTCCCATTAAATGAACTCAACAGACTAGTAACCTTCTTACCATCGCATTTCTCACAGATCACATTCTTCTGAAGACCGAGTTTTCTTGTTGAGCCATTGTACAATTCCTCCAGTGTGACTCCAAGCTGGTGAACCACATTCTTACCTGAATAAGAGAAAAAGATAACAGTATTAGCTACCAACAACCAGGATATGAAGCATTAAAGTGCACAAACTATATTTAAAACCCCCAAAACCTTTCGTTGACTTCCCATGGGGGGACGTTACAAAACACCACAGCTGCTCACTGCCACCTGATGCAGTAAATAAATGCCTCACCTCTCCTTTCTCTCTGCATTCTGCCTCCGCCACCAAAGAACAGGTTGAAAATGTCCATGGGAGATTCTCCTCCTGCCATGCCTCCTTCCTTTATGGCTTGTTCTCCACCTTGGTCATACAAATCCCGCTTTTTGGCATCTGACAGGACCTCGTAGGCTTGTGATATGAGTTTGAACTGGAGAATAGCAAAATATCCTTATATTACTCATTTTAATAATGCATGCATAAACATTTCCCATCATGCATCAGTTTCCATGAAGCATATAACAACAGTTCAAATTAGTTCTACTGAAGACCTAAGTGCCATAAAGCCTTCCTGTGTCAGGTATTTTCCTTTAATGATTAACTAAACTATTAGTATTTTAAAAAATATATATTCTTTCTATACACGTTTCTTCTATCCCTTTGCCATTTATTCAGCTTTTTTTTTTTTTACCTTAAATTTCTTTTTGGTCATTTCTTTTCTTTTTCCCTTCTTTCACTTAACCTTTTTTTACAGCACTTTATATTAGGATTTTTCATTTCCCCCCAACTTTAATTACTTATTATTTTTGTCATTTCATCGCAGTTGTTTTATTTTTGTTAGATTTTTTTTTTCTTACTTTAATATTGTATTAGGATTTTTCATTTCCCCCCAACTTTAATTACTTATTATTTTTGTCATTTCATCACAGTCATTTTTGTTAGATTTTTTTTTTCTTACTTTAATGTTTTGGATTTTTTTCCCCCATGATTTTTATTTGTATTTATTTTTGGCAGTTTGGACTCTTCCTCTCAAAGTTATATAAATATCTAAATAAAACAACATAAAATAAAACAAAATAAAGTAAAAAAATTTTTTTTAATAAAATACTTAAAAATCTAATTGTGATGCACCTTGTATTGTTTTATTTAATAAGTAAAATAAAATAAGATAAAAAAGATCGTAAAAACCACAGTCATTTTTGTTAGATTTTTTTTTTCTTACTTTAATGTTTTGGATTTTTTTCCCCCATGATTTTTATTTGTATTTATTTTTGGCAGTTTGGACTCTTCCTCTCAAAGTTATATAAATATCTAAATAAAACAACATAAAATAAAACAAAATAAAGTAAAAAATTTTTTTTTAATAAAATACTTAAAAATCTAATTGTGATGTTTCCCGCCTTACTGTCTGCACCTTGTATTGTTTTATTTAATAAGTAAAATAAAATAAGATAAAAAAGATCGTAAAAAATAAAATAAAAATGCAAATCAGCATGAATTATTTGCATCCATATATGCAGATAGATCTCAGAGCAATGTTTAGAAATGCATGCAGCAGCTCACATGAGTGTTCGGGACACTTCCAGAAAGTTCCTCTTATTTCTGTCGCTGTCATTTACCAGGCAACGTGAAACATGATACGGTGTCCGCACGCGGCTCAGCACCTCCACTTACTTTCTCGCCTTCATTCGGGTTTTTATCCGGGTGATATTTCAAGGCCAGTTTCCGATATGCCTTCTTGATCTCGTCCAGCGAGGCTTTGGGACTCACGCCGAGCAGATCGTAGTAACCGGTTTCTCGAACCATCTTTGACAGGATTCAGCTACAGGAACACACCATATCAACAGTCCTGCCAACTACCACTACCTACGCCTATATGACTTAGTTAAAATACATAATAAATGCAATGTTGATGCAATGTTTAATCATGCCACTAGACATACATATTATAAATTAAACAATATTAGAGCAGGTTAATACAAGCGGTCACTTGAATAACAACAGACTGTTATTACTTGAAAGCTAAAGTGATACTCAAACTGTCCGTTACATTAGTGAATGACTCTAGAATACTTCAAATAAAAGCTTCGCGAATCGTATTTGTGTGTTATGAGTTTGATAGCACTCACAGAAATAAAAGAAGAGCAAAAGCCGGCTCGCTGTGTCGCGTCGCGTCCGTCTCTCTGCTTGTGTGACTGTTGTTCTGCAGCCTGAACGCAGCGCGCGCTGTCGCTCTTAAACCCTTGCGCTCCAGAACCTTCTCGAGCTTTGATGCGAAGCATTGATGGAATGGGATGGAATAAGGACATGCAGCTTCACATGGGATTTGAGGTGTATGCACGGGTCTCCAAGCAGTTATGAATGATACCAAACGTTATGTATATTAGAATGGATTTTCATGATGCTTTAGAGTAACATACAGAGTAGATTTTTACATTTTCTGAAGAAATGTGAGATGCATGTGCAAATATTGTAACTCTATAGAGTTTCTGTTTTCGCATGCCAAAAAAAAAACCACTTAGTAATAACAGTAATAATAATAATAATAGTAATAATAATAATCAAGGCAATTTTAATATATAGAACGTAGCAAGATATTACTAAGCAAAGTAAATCCAAGTAAAAGAGATCCCACGTTGTGTCAAGTCAAATCACATCTATATAGCGCTTTATACAATACATCACAGATTGTTTCAGAGCAGCTTTACAGGGATAAACAGGAATATAATTATTAAAAGTAATGGAAAATAATGATTCAATGTCATTCCAGAAATCTATTTGCCTTGAGATTTGTTCTGACAATTGCTCAGCAGAGGGCGCTCTTTACCAAGGTAAACGTTTCAGCAGGCTAAATGATGATGCTGGATATATTATGTACAATTGTGGTCTTATTTATTCATTTATTTATGCATTTTAGTTTAATTTGATTTAATTTTAGTAGGCTACATAAAACTAAATGAAACTGTTGCCCGGGCAATTAGCTGAAATAACATGTTAAATGCTGATTTTATTGCAAGCAACAAAAAAAATGAATCTGAATAAGGAATATAATATGGAGGACGAGAAATGACTTGGATTCCTGGAGTAGAAACACTTGTTCACAGATCGCTAAATAAAGATAAGGCTATGAACAGGAGAAAAGTAAAAAAATAAATTTAAAAAAAGTGTGGAATAGTAGACATCATCATATATTTAGTAAGAAGCTTTAAACAGACAATTATTTTTTTGGGAAATTCACAAACTATTATTTTTATTTAAGCATTCTTACAGGAGATTTTTTACAGATTCCCAAAAAATAACAACAACTGAATAACAAATATCTTGATGCTCTGTGATGAATGTAAGTCCAGAAGCAGAAGCACAGACTCAGTCAATCTCAGCTTGTGTCAGATCGACAATGTCACTGTTTCTAGAGCTCAAAGAAGCAATGACAGCGGCGACGAGACACAATGAGCAGCAGGTTCAGGTCATCAGGTGGTCAGAATTTACGCTCCTCCTCTTGAATATTGCCAGTGATTGCAGGGTCAAAGTTTCGGTGATTTGAAGGCTGGTAGATTCTCTGTCATCTAGAAAACAGTCGTCAGTTCAGCTGTGTTTCATAGATGGAAGAGCAGCTGCTGGTTGAGTTCTCAAGCTCTTCTCTGTCAGAAATCCCTGTATTGTGACGTTTAGAAGAGCATTTGTATCATGTGATCAAGCAGCGATGTACAAGCCTGTAGAAACTTGTTCACAGATCGCTCCTATCTTCCACTGATTTGTGGCAGTAAGCTCAGTGTCTCTCCTGTCATCAGGTGTTGAGATGAAGACAATTTGTACAGTAAGATTTACAAAACATTTGGCATAACAAGTGCTTAAAAGAAATAAAGATAAGGCTATGAACAGGAGAAAAGTATAAAGGGTTGGTATCATGTGAGCCCACGGTGATGTAGAAGCAGACAGAAACACTTCCTCTAAGGTCGCTCTTATGCGCCGCTCATTTGTGGCAGGCAGGTCGGCTTCCCTCATGTGATCAGGTGTTGACATGAAGGTAACACAGATTTGAGCATTCAAGTTCACTGTGAAGGAGTTCATGGTCTCTCTCTATAGTGCCGCTTCTTCAAGAAAAAAAGTTCTTCGATTTACAGCCTAGCAGCTTAGTGCCTTAGTGCTCAGAGAATGATGGATCAGTATAAAGTTGTTAATATATGAACATCCACATGTCTGAAGTGTCTGTATGATAGTCCGCTGAAGTCTGTTTATAGTGAAGTCTTTCTTTCTATTCCTCAGTCTTGGTATCATGTGCTCAAATGCTGGTGTTTTGCTCAACTGTAGCAGGAGGGTCAGAGTCCAGAGTCCTGCCTTCATGTTCATCTGAATTATCCTACAGTTCACTACAGAAATCAGACTTTCCTTCTTCAGATCGAAAGTCTGTGGCTCCTCTCAACTCCTCAATATCGAGTTCGGAAATTGACTTCATGAATTCCGAAGTCAAACTCTAATGATGGACTCAACAGACAGACATGTTGATGGACTTGTTTATCGATGACTATTCAGGCCTACAGATCTGCCGTTTTCCAAGCAATAATTTGCCTCTTCTTATTACCTGAATGGACTTTCACCAAAGGATCACCAGTTTTAAAGAACGCTCGCAGAGTAACCAATGCATTTCATGGACAAAAATGTGGTCTGTGTAATTCCAATCCTGGTCCCAGAGGGCCAACGTCATGTAGCTCCGACCACTTCCAACCCACGTGCCTGAAGGACTCTTGTAATCCTGAAGACCTTGATTAGCTGCGTCAGGTGATTTAGATTAGTGTTGGAGCTGAACTGCAGGATAGTGGCCCTCCAGGAGCAGAACTGGACACCCCTGGACTAGATGAAACCAGACTTTGAAACCTTCAAACTGCTTGAGCCTGTGCTTGACTTTCTTGACCTACATCACATTAACATAAGGAACCACAAAACATCTCATTGCATGCCCTGGACTTTCACAACCTCTTCCTGGACTCTTTTCTTCTTTTATCTGTGATTCTCTTGAATCTGTCAAATGTTCTATAGATGGGTGCTTTAATAAAAAAGTTTTAAATTTTAGATTTTCTGAGTTTTATTTTCAGATTTAAACTTATTTTTAGAAAGTACTAAAATATAACAAAACAAAATGGTAAACATTGCTGATTTATGACACACCTTTTTGACCACAAGAATGCCACCAATTCATTAATAAAACACATTAATGTTAATGAAATTTTGATGTAGACTGAAATTGATAATATAAGAAACAAATCATGCAAAATAAATGCCCCATTTAAGTTTTTTAAAGGTTTGTGTTTTTTGTTTTTTTTGTCTATTTATGAGAATGTGCTATGTGCGTTTTTTAAGGTTTTTAAGCCAAGAGTCGATGATCTCTGTCAACATGCCTAAAATGTGAGCTCTGTAAGTTTGTGAACACCAGTGCATGGTTACCCCAGAACACGGTTGAGAAACCCTCCTGGTGTTTGAGCTCTCTGTTAGAAGTCTGTTGATAGTGAAGTCTTTCCTTCTCTTCCTCATATGAGTCTTCATATCGTGCTCAAGCAGGAATGTGTAGAAACATTTGCAAGAAGCTTGGTTCAGTTCAGCTGTGGCAGGTGAGTCAGTGCTCCACCTTAAATCAGGTCTGTACAGTAATTTCAGTGGCCAAGCTCACTTCATGTTCAGAACAGGGCTGGCTCAACTATTGCAGGGATACCCTGGTGGGACCCTTGAACTGCCCAAACCCCTTACTGTTGACTGCTGCTCTTCCATTTTACTGAAACAACAAATGATCTTTTCGCACTGAAGGGTTCGTAATCATCACCAATATTACATTCTGCCACCATCCCTAAAAAATTCACAAGATTTAAAAAATCTTTAATCAAAACATTTTTACAGAAGACAAATTCGTGCTGAAAACTCAATCTTCGTTGAGTGATGGAGTGTCACAAAACCCCAGGACATGCATGGTGGTTCAGAAGATGAAGTACTGGCTCAGTCAATCACTGTTTTTGTCAAATCAGCAAAGTCTCTCTTTTCTTGGAGCTCAAAGAAATCTTGCGCTGACTGAATCAGTCCGATGTATGAGAGACACAGTGCTGGATGTATGACAGCAGTGACGAGGCACAGTGTCATTGAGCTCATCAGGTTTCAGTTTACGCCCCTCCTACTTGCTGCATGTTTCTGCTGTGAAGGCAGGTTATTGAACGCCCTCAAGATCAGTCCCGCCGCTCCCGATACGCAGAGGAAGCAGTCTGCGTAGGGTACAAACCAGCAATGGGGGCACCATCCGAGCATTCATCTCACGCGATTCCACAGCCAGAAAAAAACTCTGAAAACCTTGGTCACAAGGTTTTACAGTAAAGTTAACCATGGTCTCTAGCTTGTTCAGGCAACTGAGAAAAAGTTCTTTGAGTTCTTAGAACCTCTAAGCTTGTGAACTCTTGCAGACATACAGTGGTGGCCAAAATGATTAGAACACTAGTATTTTCACCAGCTAAAAAATGGTTTTAATCAGTTACTTCTATCTTTTGCTGTAGTGTGTCAGTAGGAAATATCGGTTTACATGTCCAAACATTCATTTTGCCATTAATTGTGATAATCCAGTGAGATTTTTGTTTGCACAAGGAGTCTGACAACAGCCAGTGCTCCACACAGAGATCTGATCTCACCATCATCCAGTCTGTCTGGAATGACATGAAGAAACAGAACAAACTGTGGCAACATCTCCAAGATGCTTTAAGAGACCTGCCTGCAAAACTTCACCACTTACCGATCGACTATTCTCCAAACACTAAGATGCCTTTCCCCTTTTCTCCAAATTGACTTTTTCTGAGGATCACAGAACACACATTTGTCGGAAAAAAGCAATTATTTTATGGTAATGCTAACCTATAATGTAATTGTAATTTTTACCTCTGGACATATAATCTTAAATTTCGTTGTACATTTTCAACATAATTACTTCTACATTCACTATTGTGTGGTATTTTTCCGTTCTTTATGTCATTTTTTGTTTCTGTAGGCCTATATATGTGGATTTAGGCAGACCTCATTAACCTCATTGTATAAGCTTAACATCTTGAATAAAACAAATGAAAACTTCTTTAAAGAGTGAGTCTGTAATTATGATTGTGGCTTTAATTTGGTCAGTCTCAAAAAATGCTAATTTTACAATGTACAAAATGTTTAAGTCTTGAATAAAGTTCAATTAATTTTTTTGGCCAT